TATATATATATATGTATATATATTTATATATGGCATATTGTATACGTATATATGTATTACGTATATAACAAAGAGAAAAAAAAAATATATATATATATAAAGGGGAAATTTGTCCTTCTTCTTCATTGTGAACACAATTTAGGCTCTCTAACGCATACACCTCACACGCTAAATCGACCTCCTCATCAGAAAATGTGTCTATACAAATATACGCTTTATAAGCGTGTCATTAATTTACATTTATATAAATGTTACGCCATTTATTAACTTATATCGATTAATTTTTTTATCCGTTGTATCCTCCTCTCTTGTCTTTTTTTTTTTTTTTTAATTTACTCACTCGCTAACACTTGAAAAAATATGTCGTTCGCATAAGAATGCGTTAAGCGATAATATACAATAGTAGATAAATATTTATACCGATATTTACAAATTGCACGTTTTTATCTAGAGTGAAATTTTATAATAAAATTGAATTCTCCGACCGATATTACTTATCATTGCTCTTACAAGGGGACTTTATACTGGGATACTCAAGGATTTTAAAGATGCACATGCAACTGCAACTGCAACTGCAACTGCACATGCACATGCACATGCACATGCAACTGGATAGGGTGGTTAGGACGTCGGGATAGGGTCGCATTTAAGATAATATAAATATATATACAAAAAAAATCAAAACTTTAAAAGCTTTTTTCTCAAAAATGGCTTCGCGTTAGGCTAAAACACTTTACCACGATAACACCCTAATAGTATACTACTAATATACCAAAGCTCGTTAAAATCCGTGGGTATTTCAGCATAAGGTCCCCTTGTTAGATCCTTATGATTAATAATTCACCTAAAAAATCTTCTTCTTCTTCTGCGTATACTGATTAGATTTATGCATTCTGTACGTACAATACCATTGTACTTATTTTGTTTTCTTTTATATGCCTTTCTAATGCGATTAATTAATTTAGAGAAATATTTATCTTATTAGAAAATTGATCTGTATATTTTTAAAATCAGTCTAGAACTCTTTCATAGTATAGACAATTAATATCGATAGACGAATTCGATAAAACACTGTATGAAAACGTGTTACAGTTTAAGCTTATTATATAATTTTATGTATCATTCGTTTATTCATTTTTTTCATTCGTTCATAAATTTAATCAATCAATCATTCATTCATTTTTTTCATTCGTTCATAAATTTAATCAATCAATCATTCATTCATTCATTCATTCATTCATTCATTCATTTGTTTCTTGTCTTTTTTCTTTTCATTCCACGCAAAAAGGATTTGAACTTGTTCATAGATATTTATAATATATTGATTGCGTTAAAGAGAAAGACATCTCTGATATTTTCATCGATAATAATTCTGATAAATCAGTCTCCTACATCCGAATCACCATCTCCGATAGCATAAAGTATATGAAAGGCAATACCAAGAAGAGCTGTTCCTATCAGATCGCCAGCAGCAGTTAAATATGGAATTGCAGAACTGTCTGGATCCATTCCTCTTGTCCACATCCAAACGACCATCAGTTGTGCAATATACAATAATAAAACTACCTGAAGATACAATTGAAACACATGCAATTATATTTATTATTGTAATAATTATATTAAATAAAAATGATTTATCAATATATACCTGCAACAGTGCAACAGTTAAGTAGAATATAATAAATATTGGTGTGAAAGATGTATGGCCAGCTTTCTGATAACTTATCATATAACTAAATATTAAATGGCCTGGTATAACCATCATTAATAGAACCCTAGCAGTCCTAGCGTGTCCTCCTAATGAATAAAATTTCAGTTAAAAATAATTATTATATTTAATTAGTGTTATACATATTAAATAATATTTTTGATACCTTTAGCAAAAAATGCATGAAACGGGCTTATACAAATAGTTGGTGCAGTTTGACTGCCCATACAAAAATCTTTATGTAACGATGTCGAAATTCTACTAGCTTGGACGGCAACAAGGTTTCCTCCGACTCCATTAATAACTAATTGAAAAACAGCTATTCCTTTATAGCTGGATATCGTGTAGTCTAAGATGAGACCGCCTAAGCTAAAATCGTGTATGATTTCTAAACTTTCTTTCAAATTAACGTTGATCGATAATTAACAACAAATTGTACCTGCTAATAAGCATAGCAGATATCACAGGTGTCCAGCCATGATCCAATACTTCTTTAGTAAATGGATTTTTAGCAGCAACGTAACCCCAAATAGGTGTTGCCACGATGCAGACAAATATTAAGGTTGGTGCGATCCATGGAGCATTACCTACGCCGATACGTTATATATGAAGTTAAGATTAGTACCAAAAATGTTACTAAATCGCGTTAATTATTTTAATTAATAAGCATTAAGATTTGTGTTTACCTATAGAATGATACAAGATAGAAGCGATCCACGATAAAAGAGCTAGAGTTGTTAAATCTCCTAAGGAAGCTGCAATTGGTGTAGCCACATTATCTGGATTAATATTCATGTGTCTTGAAAATAATATTACAGCTACCATTACAAGTCCCAAAAAGAAGCTCGCTACAGAAGCAGTGACCAAGGCACTAGCGCACAACAAAAGTCCATGATGTATATCAAAATGCGCTTCAGGTACCCAACCAAGAATAACAGCAGCCAATGAAGCCAAAAGCCCTACCACCATGGCTTGACATTGTATCAAAGCCAAATTTCCCACAATCAGAGTCCATTGTTGTTTCTTTGTATCCATGTGACCTAAATTGGCCTGGGTTGACAAACGTGAAGCTAGAGTCATCTCCAAATTTCCTTTCAAACCTAACAATGCTGGAACTAATATATATACTTCGGAAACAATTTGATAAACTGGCCAGTGCTGTAAAATAAAATGTACTTTTTATATTAATAATTTATATGAATCAATATTAATTGTTATACTTGGTTTACGTACTTGAACAACATCCAATAAAAGACTAGCTGCGACCATACCAAAACCAGCAAGTAAAAACGGTATAAACATTTGAATGGATATTGACCAAACATTGTCGTCCTCTGTTGTATCTTGAACTTTCTGAGTACTCAACTTTTTTATGTGATTATTACCAGCTTCTTTCTTGATAGATGATCTTATTAATCTCTGATTATCGCTCTCTTCACTCTCATCGTCAGAATTCATTTCCAAATCCATAGTTATGTCGGAGATATTAGAACTAAGTTCTTCGCTACCTAGGCCAACCATTTTTTTATATTTAAAACTTCCCTTTAGACTTTTACGATCAACGTTGTCCTTCTTTCTTTGTAATTCTCGTTTTCGTAACTCGACATGGCTCATTCTTAATTTTTTCCTTGTTTATATTCGACGAGTACTGAATCAACAAAAATAATAAATTAGCAAATAAAAAAAATTTATTATTTTATGCGAAAGATTTAAAAAAAATAAATTAATTAGGATATATAATAATAATATTAATTATTTTCTCTTACTTGTAAAAATGTGATGACACAAATTGAAACATTTAACTGCGATAAAAACGAGAAATAAAAAAGAAAATGTACACTTCTGTTAACAAAATCGAATGTACTTTAGCAGCAAATTAATTATATATTGTAATTAATTTATAGAAAGATAAGTAAGATTAATATAATACAATCAGCGAATGTGTTATCTAATGAGCACGATTGTGAAAATTCTTTTACGAGTATGTGTGTCGTTATCCACACGCAAAACAATTTTATCGCGCTGAACCGAAATAAATTTAGATTGGATGTTCGATGCCAAAGTTTCCCGCCTTTTTTTTTTTAAATCTAGGTCAATACACTTTTCTTTAAATTAATTTTTATATTTTTCAAAATTTAAATCTATTATCCTATCGAATAATTTTTACGATATTAATAAGATTAAAACAAATTATTTGTGTTTTAAAAAAACATAGGAATTCAAAATAATCAATAAAATAATCGACCAATCAATTTCTACTTTATTTACTAACGAGATCAAATCAATAATTGTTTAAAAATTATTATTTCTTTTTTATTTCTCTTTTTTAATTGTCAAAATGTTTGAACAATTGTCGACGATTAATTAAAAACAATATTGCATTGTACATTGTAAATCGTACTGCACTTTTAATCTTATTTTTTTTATCTTTTACGAAGAAAGATAAAAATGAGCGGGCAATATAAACAAGTTTTGTTATTACATGTGTAATTTCTAAAAATGTTCGATGACGAACGATTGACAAAAACAAATATAAATCGTAATACTAAATATGCGAACGTAAAGGAAATGAGAATGATTAAAAAATGAATGTTAACAATTATCATCGTTTAATATTTATTCCGATATTGAACATTACCGGCTAATCTCAAATTCCGGTATCATATTTCATTTCTGATTAAATAAAATGCAACACAGACAAAAAAGAGGGAAAAAATCACGTACGTCTGACGCGTAAACATTGCTAAAAAAATAAAAAAATACGTAAAGTTCTTCCGAACTGAAAGAAAAAGAAACATTTCTTAGAACGACAAACAATCTTATCGTAAATTTGTATTTGCGAGTCATTCGAGAGAAAATTGACACGAAAAATAAATAGAGGTTAAATTAATCAACGATTTATAATTTAAAAAAACAATTCTATTACCAAAGATGAAAACTTAAACAAACTTTGACATCCGTTAAAATAGATTTTTCATTTTAACAATAGAATTGTCAACATTCATTGATAAAACAATGTAATTCATTAAGCCACGTAATCAATTAATTCATTATTTGGATAACATAACCTCCAAAAGATGAAAAGACCGACGTAGTACTAACCTCGAAGATGGGATTAAATCTTTGAAGTTGTTGGCGCTTCTCCATCGGTCATCGAGCATGGTTATGGCTTTTGACAAGAAGAAGTAGAAGGGACGAGAGAAAAAAAAAGGGCTCCTTTGGAGAGGGAGAAAATCTTTTTCTTTTTTCACTTTACGCCCGAGACTTTTCGTATTCGTGGCAAATATATAATCGAAGAACAAGTCCACAACGTTGACGCACTAAACGTTGACTGAAAATGAGACTCGACACCGTTCGCAAATATTCACCGATAACGTTCGATGACGTTTTTTTTCGATTGCATCCTTTCTTATCACTTAAATATACATATACTCGTTATTATAAAACATATTCAATACGTGCGTGTATGTATGCAACATTCGGTACAATTTTAATTCTAATCTATCATTCCACTAAATTTTGTTCTAAGATTAAATTGAAAATAATTTTAAAAATAATTACCTATGAATTAAATTTGAAGTTTTCTACATTACCTACACCGTCAATAATTTTTTTTATTGATGTTTCCTATATTACCGATAGACAATAAAGCGTTGATAAAAAGGCATTAATAGTTTCGCGAGTACTTTTATAGATGTCGCCATTTCGGCGGGATTTTTAAAAGAATCATAATTTTAAAGCATCAAAAAATAATATTGACTCGACCAAATTCTATTGTGTTTTTATACTGTAAAATAAAAGACTTTTATTATTTGTTAATATCTCTTGTTATTGAAAGAGATCTTAATTAAAAATTAGAAGTCTTTTCATAGTAGTATTAATAACAAAATCGTGGAATAGTTGGTTTAAATAAGTGCATCCCCTTTCGAAATAACATAACATTCATATCGTACTATGTATAACATACCATTTCTACCTCTTCCTCTCATTAATTTAGCTTTCTGAAGGATCTTGAATTCGAACCAATGTGATCCTCAGAGTATTTTGACCCCTTCTGTTGAAACTGACCAGAGAATTAGAGAATTTTCAACAGATAGCAAAGAAAATCAGACGGGATAGAGATAGAAAGCAAGAGAGAAAGAGAGAGAGAGAGAGAGAGAGAGAGAGAGAGAGAGAGAGAGAGAGTGGGGTCAAAAGCTCAACCATCATATCGTACGGTTGTTGAGTTTGTGTTAGTTCGTTCCTTCGCAATGGAATTCGCGGTATTCCATTACCGTTCACTAAACTCACCTTTTCAAACAATATAGAAACTTACAAAAGCGAGACGAATGCAATAATTCGAAACCACCGATGGTTTCTCGCTTCGTTGAAAGTGATATAATTCGGAATCACATAATTGTAGAATCATAATAATAAATTGTTTTCACATATAGTTTAATAATAACGATTAAGAAAATGATTTTCCTAAACTATTTTTCGTTTTCTCAAAAAGTTACGTACCAATTAAAAATTTGTAACTATTATAAATGCGATTTTCCACGATCATTTATAAAGTTTTGGATTGTTAACGTGAAAAATAATCGATTTTCATTTACCATTGAAAAAGATGAAATTACTTTTTCTAACAACTAAATATATATTACATTGCACAAAAGAATATAATATTATTAAATAAATATTAAATATTTGTGCAATTTTAGTTACATGGATTTTTCTTAGAAATAATTCACCAAAATTTTGTAATAGTATTAAAAAAAAAAAGCTAAAATAAATGAATTATTTATTTAAACGTTTCTTCTTTCTTTGTATTGTTACAGTAATAGAGTTTTTCATACCGGTATCAAATTAATTATTATATTCTTCTCTGTGTTTTCCTTCTTTCTTTCCAATTTTTATTTTTTATATTATTTTATTTTCTCTCTCTCTCTCTCTCTCTCTGCTTATTTTAGTGGATTTTTTCAGTCAACGTTTTAAAATGCATTAAAGAAAGAGAGAATGCGAGAAAGAGAGAGAGAGAGAGAGAGAGAGAGAGTAAAGGAAAGAAAAAAGAAACAATAGAAAGAAACATTCTTGATGAGTTGGAAAACGTATTTATTTTATTACATGGCCGGAAAAAAACATGGTAAATGGGGAGAAATTACAAACGTTTTTCTAACATTTTTATTATACTTGGTTACTCGCGTATATGAGTTTCTTTTAATTCTTTTGAAATTTATATTCTTCTTTTTATTTATTTATCGGCAACTAACAAAACTTTGAATGTACGTTCGTATTACATGAACGTGTATGCGTGTAAAAGATTAAACAAATTGAGAATTCATATATTAGTTTTACGTGATACGATGAAAGTTGCTTGCGCATGTGTGTAACGGAAACAATATTTCTAATAAATAGAAATTTCTGTGCAGTGATGACTTGGGGGAGGGGAGGGGGGAATACAATTTTCATCTAATGAAACATAAGATCAAAATTAATTAATATTCAAAGTACGATAATTGATATGTAATATTAAAAGCAATGTATACATGTATAAATAATTATAAGTATTAATAGAGAACAAGACTGTGTATTTTGTATAGCTTAATTAATTGTTAATTAATCGACAAAAAATGTGTATTGTAATTTAGGAACACTGAGTATATGTTCGGAGCACCGTCCTCCTCGAAATTCACCTTCAGACTGGCACGTTGTCATCAATAAAAGTTCTTTTATTAAATATTGTTTATATGACGTTTCGAATGTTACACATGTGCATAACAAATATAATATATCCAATTAATAAAATTTAAGATTATATAACGTCTATTGTGTTAGTCGTTGCTCGTCATTTTAAAATAACAATTAATATGTATTCATTATCAATCAAATGATTGAAACTGTGTCGAATTTATTGTTATAATCGACATTTATAAATATATTTGTTGATTTAACGCGTTACATACAGTTTTTTTTTCTTTTTTATTTAAATAATCAAGACAATAATTTAATCCATAAAGTGTTAATCGAAAAAAATATGAAGTACATTGAAATTAGAATCGAATGAAATGAATTTGGCAACTACTAAACTGACAACGAGAGGAATTAATTTTCACCTCGAACACAATCCGCATTGCCGTTGGCACTTATCCTTTTAGTAAGAGAGAGGGAGAGAGAGAGAGAGAGAGAGAGAGAGAGAGAGAGAGAGAGAGAGAGAGAGACAAAGAGAGAACATTTTCAGAGTGATCAACAGGACATATTGAACGAATTCTCTAATTATCATCACCGTACCGTAATCGTAATCGATCAACATAATATAAAACGTTATACCAAATTAATTGCCAAATAAATCCTGGTATTCTCATATCACGAAACAATTTACAATTATCCTGACACAAAATCCTTCCTCCCCCTTTTCTCTCCCTTTTCACTCTCCCTCTCTATCTCTCTCTTTCTAATTTTCTTTTAACATTTCCACATCGTTGAAATTCTATTTTGATTTCTCGATCATTCCCAACGATACGGTAGATTAAGAAATAAGAAATATTAGAAATAATAAAATGTAGAATTTTTTTTAATAGAGAGAGAGGATAGGTCGTAATGTTAATTTCGAATAAAAAAATAAATAAAAAAGAATAACGTTTAGTGAGATTACATTGGTATAATTTTCCTTCTCATTTAAAAAGAAACAAACATATGGTGGTAGAGGAAGAGATAAATGGTGAAAGAGGAGGAGGAGAAGAAGAAGGATAAGAAATAGGAAGTGGAAGAGAACGAGTGGCAGAGAAGAGGATAGGGGGTGGGACGAAGGGGGATAAAATGAGGGGGATTTTCTGATAAGAAAAGTGAGAAAAGTGTAGAAGTAAAAATGTTACCATTTATCGAATCTTCTTCCACCACTACCACCACCACCACCACCACTACTATCACCTCCTCCTTTCCCCTAACACTTTCTCCTTTTTCCTTTTTTATTATTATTATTTCTTTTTGTTTATTCTTATTCTTTGGAACTTTCATTTTCATGTTACATTCATTCACTATCGAACAAGAAGAAGTAGAAGTTGAAGTAGAAGAAGAAAAAGACGGGTTAACTGCAGAAACATCACGTAGAAGTTAGTAATTAATGATAATTGGATTAAAAACAATGAAGTATAAACTAGTGTTAGTGAGTGAATAATTGTAGATTGAGAAGCACCACAGTGGATAGAAAACAATTGATTACAATTGATTAATATATAGGCGTGCTGGGTTTCTCGTTTCTCTTTCATTTCTATTCGTGGATCTTAGCATTTTCGATGTGTTATCGTATTCTCTCGTATATTTTTTATTCGAACGTGTCGTTCAAATCGCGTGTGGTTTAATTAACATAATATTTTCTAAATTATTCTCTTCATATCAATTTAATTATTGTATTAATTACTGTTACGTTCGTCACGTTTATTTGTTTTTAAATTGATTTCATTTGAATAGTCGCGATTTCAATTTGACGTTTAATCATTTTTTTTGTATCATTATTCTTTACGGTTATCGGTATTTTTTATTGTTGTTTTTTTATTTTATATTACTTGTTATTTTCGTTAGTTAAATGTATATATTTTTCCGGATATTATTCGATTTACTTTACTTTCTTTTTTTTTTAAATATATTCTTCACGTGATTTTACTTTCAACGTGTTGCTTATTATCATAAATCAAATATCTTTTATCATCCGTTGCTTTTTTTTTTATTCCAACTACACATTGAAAATATCTTTTTTCGTTATTTCGTTATCTTAATATTATTTTCCGAACGAACTGTGTTCTTCTTCGAAATGTCTGCCGTTTAGTTTCTCTATCTCGTAGAAATACATAGAAAGTAACAGTAATAAGTAGCTTTTTTTTTTATCTAATTTTTACTAATTATCCGTTTGCGATTACAATTTTTAGAGCTACGAAAGTGCGACGTATTTCGTTTATCTGTTTTCAGTGTGTTCGACCGTAAGATATGAGAAAAAGACAAGCAGATGATAGAAGTATTATATCAGTCGTTTAAAACGAATAAATTGATCTGGTGTGAAAAGAAGATAAAACAAAAAAAAGAATTATTTTTGAAACATTGAATTGTGAATTCTACCAACGATCATCATCATCATGAATGTAAGGGACACACACTTACAAAGTTTATTTTTAATTAGATTAGATATTTGTAATCGTTAGATAAGTAGTTGAGTAACTTGCTTATAATACTTATATATATATATATAAGTATTATTATATTAACAGACAATATATTTTTCATAATTTTTATATTCGTTGCATTACACGTAAGATAAATATAAGATAATATATCTGGAAACATTGTCAATACAGATAATGTTCTAAATTCGTATGGAGTCAACAGTGATTATCGTAAAATGGGACGAAAAAAAGAAAAATAAGCAAGATAAACCACCTAACAAAGAGGAAAGGAAAATTATTATAAATTTGCATAACAAGTATAAAACACTGAATGAAATTTTAACAAATTTTACATAGCGTACATAGTACACGATAAGGAAATAAAAAAATTAAACATAAGTTTCATATTCACACATATACATATATATTAATATTAATTAAATCAGTATCTTTTCTATCCATCTTCTTTCCATTTTTCAATCTTATCATTTAATGATGATTATAATATTAACATAAATATATACGGAAAAAAAAAACAAACAAATAAATTAATAAATAAATAAACAACACAATAGAAAGATAATAAAATAAAAGAGAAAAAAAACGTGTGTTGTTTCTTATTCACATATATACATTAATATTTATTAAATTAGTCTCTATCATCCTTCCACACACACTTCTATTATTCATATAATCATTATGAAATGATTAAAAATTCAAATGTAAAAAAAAATTCTAATATACAAACACAATAAATAAAATGAATTAATAAAATAAAAAGAAAAAGAAAAAGATACGATGAGAGTTAAAGAGTAAGAACGACCAAGTATAGTGAATAAAATGGGAATCACCGTGGGTACAATTATAAATATCGATTAGACTACCAAGAGTGGGAGAGAAAGAGAGAGAAAGAGAGGGAAAGGAAGAGGAAGAAGAAGAAGAAGAAGAAGAGGAAACTCTCCTCGCGTGTTCCTCTTTGAGCGCGTGCGCGCAAATATACACGAAGAAGACGCTTGCTTTGGCCGTGAGAGAGTGAAAAGCTAAAATGACGATGGGAGGAGGGAAAGATGGAAAAAGAGGGAAACATAAATAGAGAGAAGGAGAAGGAAATAATGCTAGAGGAGAAGGAGGTAGTATGAGTTTAAAAGAGGAGGAGAAGGGAAGAGGAAGAGGAGGAGGAGGAGGAGGAGGAGGAAGAGGAGGAGGAGGAGAGAGTTTCTTTCGAAGAAGCACAGGACGTTGTCGATGCTCGAGACGATTTCACGTGTGCACAACGTTAAACACGCTCTCTCTCTCTTTCTCTCTCTTTCTCTTTTTCTTTCTTTCTCTATTTCTATCTCTTTCTCTTTCTCTTTCTCTCTCTCTCTCTCTCTCTCTCTCTCTCTTTTCTCGTTTCGATCGATCCTGAACGTCAACGTCAACCTCAACAACAACGAACAAGAAATAGGAACGTGATTTAGTGTTAGTGTGAAAAAGAAACAGAAAAAGAAAAAAAGAAAAAGAGATAGAGAGAGAGAGAGGGAGAGATCATCCTTGAGAAAGATGACTGGCACAACTGATCCCTTGGTGAGTGTCATTTCAATCTAAAATCAGCGTCCCTTTTTCAAAACAACTCCTATATAATAACCCTCTCTTATGTGTCAGATAGAAAAAGATAGATCGTATCGATGGGGGTTGGTTGACAAAAGTTAGATGAGAGAGAAGGAAGGAAAGGGGGGGGATGGACTTAATGGGTGAAAGAATATATTATACACGTGGTGCGTGCGGTGGTATATGATTTTTTCAAAGTAATTCAATTTTTCGAGATTATTCGATTTTGGCCATATTTTTTTTGTAGAGTTTTCTGACAATTTTTTTTTTTCTTTTTCTGTGAAATTCGTCGCGAAAATTGTCTCGTTTTATTTTTTTTGTTTCCTTTAAAAATACCATTTCTCGGATATTAGATGTTTTCTAGTTTTTTCTTCTGATTCGAATGTTCGTTTGAGAGGTTATGTTTGGCGCGCGGGTGTACCACGAGACTACCTTTCGAAAGCCCAACGATGCCGCGAGGTTAAAATCGAAAATACGCGCACGCGCTCGTAGTATTCACGCTTGCGCGTTTTCAATTATTCTTCTTGATATCTATTCTTCTTTTATTTTTGTCTATTTCTTTTATCTCTTTTTCTTTTTTTTTTTTCTCTCTCTTTCGTCTCGCAAAAAGAGAAAGAGAATAATGATCGATCGATCGTCCATCTTATTTTACGCGCGATTGATCCAAAATTACAAATGGCGTCTCGTAACTATCATTTTTTTTTTCTTGTTTTCTTTTTTTTTTTTTATACTCTTTCGATAATTTTTTTGTATTTTTTTTTGTTATCTAGGTAATATTGAATCATTTTGTTTGGATTTAATTTAAAGATTTGTTTTGAATGCGTTTGACGATGATGTATATAATACTTGAAAGTTATGAAAATTCTTACACCAAGTGACAAGAATTTCGAGCGAATACGGTCATTCTAATTATAGAATTCGTCTATTCGAAGAAATATATATATATATAGAGAGAGAGAGAGAGCGGAAGAAATGTTTTGATGGTTCCATATCTTGCTTTATACAATTTTATCTTTATTATTAAAATGTGATTTATTTTAAAGAGATATATTACGGTGTACCGGATGATGATGTTGCTTCGACCGATCGATGCTTCTTTTTAAAAATAGATTTATTGCAAATAGGTTAAAGCTTACCGCTTTTTTTCTTCTCTTTCCTTCTTTTTTTTCTTTTTTCTTAACATTTTTTATTTCTATTAATAAAATTTCTATTTTTCATTTTATTTCGCAGTTACTACATTTAATCTAATGATATTATTTAGCAAAACAATTCTTAACTCTCTTTTACAATTAATACATTTGTAATAATTGACATATAAGTACGTTTAAAATAATCTTTGAGAGGAGGAGAAAGAGGATGAGGGTGATTTTGATTTATCGTCGATCAATTTGTTCATCCCTTTTGTCTAAAAGCTTCGACAGTTATAAGGTTCCATAGAACACCACCACCAGTTTCTATGTTGTCTTCCTTCTACGTGTTGCAAAAAATTGCTGTTACCTTTAAAAGTACCTTTAATGCGATCTAGTTTATCACTCGTGACGTGGAAAAGTCTGTTATCCTTCAATTTTATATTTCACAACCCTATTTTCTACCACCCCTCCTTCCTCTACCTATTCCTACATCCTCAGCCCTTCACATTCACCTTCAACCAAACTATCTCATAAAAATCATCTTCTTTCTTTTTGTTTTATTCCTCGTTTCATGCCAATTTTCACGAAAGACACTTGAAGAACATCGATATTTTTCCTAAGATTAATGTTTCGAACTATGTAAGATAATAAACATGGTGGTATATACAATATATATATATCTCTGCCTCTCGTAACATCTTATCACGTAAAAGCATATACTTTTATAGGACTATGGTGGTTTTTTTCTTCTATATTTTATAGTTACTTTTATTTTTCGTTATCTTTTTCTTTTTCTTTTTCTTTACGTTTTTCTTTTTCTTCTTCTAGCACGTATTCCCTTCCTTAACGTCTCACTGAATTTCACATTTATTCTTTAAAATACTCGTGTACACCCTACCCTATCTTATTTTTTATGGGATACAAATATTTCTTCGTAATGGAGAGAAAAAGTGTTTCTCTTTCTTTTAACAAATTATTTTCTTTACGTTTGCGTTTTATTTGGAACAATAAAAATATAGTTTCACGAGCACTTTTTTTTTTTTAAAACGTGTCTAAAAAATTTATACCTTATTGTATATGCACGAAAGTGGTTTAATAATTTATTTTTAAAAAATGATGATAGAAATATTATTGAAATTATCTTTTATTCATTTTATTAATCTATGTGTTTTGTTCAATTAATTATTGGTGACATTTAAAAAGACATATAATATATATAATATTAAAGACATATAATATTATGTATATATGAAGAAAAAACACAGTAATATTTA